ATTAATAAATAAATAAAATTTGAAAAAAATGGTACTCAAAAAACTAGCTCTGCATATTATGAAGATTAAAACTGGACCTTTCACCATGCAATATTGGTGGATTAAAGATCTAAATATTAAAATAGAAACATTAAATCTGCTGAAAGACAGCACAGCTAAAACTCTTGCAAACATTGGTGTACACAAAGGCTTTACGAATAAAATCCCAATCACACAGGAATTATTACAACAACTGGGATTTCATCTTATTAAAGAGCTTTTGCACAGCAACAATGAAGATAAAATCCACAATGTGGGGAAAAATGTTTGCCAGCTGTTCCTCAAACATTTACCATCGAGGATTACAATTAATGTATAAAGAACTCAAAATTGAGGGCCAGCAAGACAGCTCAGGAGACTAAGCACTTATGTAGGCAAGCACAGTGACCAGGGTTTGATCCTGGTACAACATGCTAAGCTGGCCCCACACACGCTGAGCTGGCCATCAGAACAGTGCATGGTGGCACATGCCTGTAATCCTAGCACTTGGAGGCTGAAAACTGGAGGATCACTGTCAGTCCAAGCTGTGTAGTGAGACCCTGTACCAAATACATAAAAAAAGAAAAGAACCCTCAAAAATATCAGACCTCCCAAATTTAAAGACTCAATCCAAAAATAAGCATCTGAGATGAACATATACTTCTCAGATGAAGAAATACAAACAGCCATACATGAAAAATGTTCAACATCACTGAACATTCAAGAGATGCAAATTAAAACAACACTGAGAGTCTATCTCACCCTGGAAAGAATAGTTACCATAAAAAAAGAAATCAACCAATAACAAATACTGAAGGGACTGTGGGGAATAAGGAAGCCTTCTCTACTGTTGGTGGGAGTGAAGACTGGTTCTACTACTGTGGAAGTCAGTGTGGTAATTTCTCAAAAAACTAGGACTGCAGGTCCCAGTTACTCCTCTGCAGAGTATCTCCACAGAGGAATTAAGAGCCTCGTATAACAGCAATATATGTTTACCCACGTACATAGCAACAGTTTGTAATAGATACATCTTGGAAATAACCCAAATGCCCACCAACTGAACAATGGATAAAAAAGATGTGGTCTTTTTATACAATAAAGTATTACTCTGCCATAAAGGAGGATAAACTGGAGATTTTTATAGGTAAATGGATGCAACTCAAGACCATACTCATAAGATCCAAAATATACAAAAGATACTGTCAAAAGGGAAGAAACTGTTCAAAAAGAAAGAAAAACTGGGATTGGGAAAAGAGAAACCAAGGAAGGGAAAAGCAAACATTATGCTACTAATTTCTCTGAGTTCATTGAAAAGTTTGTGCTAATATTATTTGGACAACTAAATGCCTGTATCTTATACTGAGTAAGTTAAAGATGCAGTATAGTAACCATTATTACCCTCCTACTATACTGTTTTGAAATTGTTTTATTCTTTTTCTCTTAAAAACAAAAAACAAAAAACAGAGGGCCAGCGAGATAGCTCAGGGGACTAAGCTCCTGCTTAGGCAAGCGCAGGGACCAGAGTTTGATATCCAGTACTGCATGCCACGCTGCCTTGCCCTTGGGTAAAATGAGCCATCGACAGGAGTCTAGGTGTGGTGGTGCTAGAGAGGCTGAAAGCAGGAGGATCACTACGAGTCCGAGCTGCATAGTGAGACCCTTACCAAATACCAAATAAATAGTTTTAGAGATGCTCTGTGTGACCAGTGATCACAATATAACTTTTTCTTTCAATGAGAAAACTTGACTTTTTATTCTAGTTAATATAAAATTTGATACGAGAACCAGCACAAAGGGTAAAACGAAGGTAAATCACATTTTTCTTCATCATTAGTGCACCTGTTATTTTTATTCTTTATTTCTGTTACAAGTATTAATAATGGTTTGGTATTAGACACCTAAGAAAAAGTATACCCAAGCTGATTAAAAGACTTAATTCCTTACCAATGTTCAAGACCCCAAACCTCAGAGAAATTTACATAATCTTAATATATAGAAACTTTCGCAAACAGAATGCTAGTGTGAATGTACCTGCATTTGTTAAGTGTTAGAAAGAAAATACACAGTAATGTGTAGTGCTTAGTATTCCACAAATATTCTAGGTGCTTTGAAAATGCTGATTTTAATCTGTATGTAATTTTATCAATTAGCTAGTAGCTGTACTCAACAGATGAAAAAACAGTAACTTTGGTCTAAGTAATTTAATCAACGTTCACGAATTGAAAAAGAACAGAGCCAAGATTTCAATTTAAGCTGTCTTATCCAGAATCATGTTCCTAATCACTATGGCACACTACTATCTAAACAGTGACACTACTACACATTAACCCCTTAACACTAAGTCACCAAAAATGGTTATTTTATACTAAAAGAGGCATTTCTAAGAAAAGAATTTTGTTTAAGTTTAATTGGTACAATTAAGGCACACACAATGATCACATTCAACACAGGGAATCTGCGCCAGTCCATGACATATTTGATTCCTCTTTTCTGCATACCCATCTCTTCCCTTCAAACCCCCTTCCCCGTCCCACTCCCAAGGCTCTGCTTCCATTTTATCCTTGTCTTCTCAGTTTTTTCTTTTCCCTTCCTCCTCTCTAGTTCCCTTTTCCTCTTTAAGTTTCTTCCTATTTCACAACATCAATTATATATTTTGGTTCTTACATTGTTTCTCACACCAGAGAGATAATGCAATACTTACATACGTGTATCTGATTCATTTCATTTGTTTCATTTTGTAAAATTTTCCTCGACAATCTACAATTTTAAACTGAAATTCATTATGTCAGTATTTTTATCCTTGTCAAAAAGATACCAACTTCTCAGTAATTTAGGAGGTTAAGCAGTAGGATCACAATCCTGAGTGCTGCCTGGGCAACTTGATGCCTCAAAAG